AATTATATATATATATATATATATATATATATATATATATATATATATTTCACTACATGATTATTCTTGCAAAACGTTTCATTGTGTTTAATTTATATTCGTATTAGAATCATTTAGGCAGCATATTTTCTTTGCTTCTTCCATGACTGTTTTTTGTTTTATTTATTTATTTATTTGTCCTTTTTTAAACTTTTTATTATGTATGGAGTAATCGTAATTATATTGATTATCCTTATCAGTAAACATAATTATAACTATGAGTTGCGAACTTTTAGATTGGAAAATTTCACATCGGTAAGTAATATGATCATTTCAAATCTGAAAATTTCCGTAACTTCCCATCAGTTTTTTCTTTTTGTTGTTGAACATCAATTAAATTTTGAAAAATTAATGAAGTTCCAATTTTTCTAAAATTTCATTTTAGATTACCTTCATGTGCCGCAATTTGCAACTGTGATTTGTCAGATACAATAACTGTCATTTTTGATGGTTTGCTAACAACTCAATACATTCCGTGAGTGTATTTTAAAAATTAATTATAGCAATAAAAAAGATGAAACTACTTATTTAATTTTAAAATTTTAAGTGAAAGTTATATGGTGAGGCGAAAGTTTTATTATTCTAATATTCGACTTTAACGAGAAACGTTGCTGTAAAATGTTCGTCAAAAATACGGCAAAAAATTACATCTATATTAGCATGTGTTAGGACAGAAGTTATACGGAAAATAACTATTCATAATGAAGTAAATTTATTCCTTTAAGTTTTGATTTTATTCTAAGAAGTCGAATAATTTGAGGTCTTTTATCAAAAAAAAAAAATTTATGTTTGCAGCCGAATAATTTGTGACTTTCAAGCACGAAACAATTCTTATACTTTGTTATATCATGTTAAATAAATGTAAGCTTTTAATGTTTAAATGAATACCGTTCAATGTTTCATAATCAATCTTTTGAAATATCCTGAAAATAAGTGGTAGGTTGATGATTTGAATAATACTGCCATTCTTGTATGATTTTAGCGCTGAAAGTAAACGAACATTATTGGTTAGTTTTCGAAAAGGACTTTTGCTTAGCAAGGAAATAATACTGGTACTAGATTGTGATTTTGTAACCGTATCAGATTCATACTCGGACTTGGCTATAGTATCCTTTTTTTCATCGGACATTCGCAGCAAGCAAACGCGGATTGTAAATATTCTTAACTTTGACGAACCATTGGAAAAATTTTCGTTATCTGAAATGGACGATCTCTCTTTAAAAGGTTTTCTTTATACTGGCCTTCGTTAGCTCAGTATTAAAATCTTTATTCTCCATGAGTTTAAGAACTAAAATTTTCATTTGTTTACAGAATAGCTGTTATTTTTAATTGTGAATAAAATGAATATTCAACTTCTCGTCTATTATTAGATGCAATAATAGCGATGTGTTTTATTAAAAATAGTCCTTGAAAATGAGTTTTTCCTTCAAATTTCATTCTATTTTCATCAAATCGATTGTTATTTTGGGATGTGTTTGATTTGTTTATCATTGTTCTTTAGAATCAATTCCATTCATAATGAAAATTTCCTGATTTTAGAAGGAATGAAATTATATCAGTGCCTATATGCTTGTCATTTTTCGATGCCGCTCAATATTGCTCCGTCCTATTTGCGCATTCTTATTCGCAATATTGGAAAATTTAGAGAAGTAGATTTTGGTAATTGGCAACTTTTCATTGGTGAAACAAATACGATATGGAATGACTTTGTAATTTACGCAAATTCATTATTTATGGAAGGCCTGTCGTCTCAATGCCGACTTTTCTCGAAGTGGTTTTTTTTTTTTGGTCAAAAACAGTTTCTTAGCAATTCCAGAATTCTAAATATCTATCGGGATTTATGTTTGCTAAATTACGCTGGCAAATTCATATCGGAATATTCGGCACGAAATTAGTTCGGAAGTGAATTTCGTAATTTAAAATTTGACAGTAAATATATGGGACATATGTGAAGTGCCTCGAAGATAGTTGGACTTAAGTTGATTGTTTAAGTAAGCTAATTACTTGGATCTTTTATTTAAGCATATACATTTATGATCTTTTATAATTATACTTCCTTAATTTGCAGAAATGAATGTGATGTGCATCGTTTCACAGAAATTTTGGATGATTTCAACAAGAACTATGAGATTACATGATATGGATTTGGATCGCTCACAGATGAATGTAAATATTGTCATCGAATGGATTATAAATGTATTCGAAGTGTGCTTGTTGGATTTGATTTCTTATTTCATTTTTCTTTTCTAGCATTTGATTTTCAATCTAGATTGAAAATGAATCTGAGATCAAAATAAAAGTTAATAAAACTTTCAGTACAGAAATGAAAATATTCAATCTAATGACAAAATGGCTTTTTGTAAAGGAAAATTACCGGAATAATCGATTTTTCATTACTTATTTATTGTCCAGTTATTTCCTGAGCAGTCGATGTTTTACAATCATATCCTGTAGCAAAAACAAATTACAACACAAGAAGTTTAGCTTCTGTATTAAAATCCGGAATCATTTTTTGACAAATAATCCTTCCGTTTCAAATCAACAACGCAAAATGGAAATGATATTTGTACAGTTAATTCTTCCGGTTTTATTGTTTCAAAAATTTCCGGAAAAATAGTCACCAAGCCTATAAAAGAATCATTTTGGATTATTTCAATTATCAAATGAAGGCAATCTGTTAGCGTAAATAGGAATAATCGATCATTTGAAGCATGAAAATTTCATAATAATTTAGAAAA